TGGACTCCTTCCCCTTGCTCTCGGCCTATGTGGCTCGCCTCAGTGCCCGGCCCAAGCTCAAGGCCTTCCTGGCCTCCCCCGAGCATGTAAACCGGCCCATCAATGGCAACAACAAACAGTGAGAGCTTGTGGCACCCTCGGCAGGAGGCAGGGGGCCGCCTGCCACCCAGCTCTTCCGCAAGGCCAATAAAATTAGCAAGAGAAGTCATGCTGTGAACATTGTATTTCCCGGGTAGGGTGCTTTGGGACCTTCACCTGTCAAACTCGGGAGGTGGCGGCCGGCTAGGATACCTGAAACCCGAAAACATAATCAGAGTGTCTTCCTGGACCCCTTCACCCAGTCTGTTTATTGAACTCAAGAAACAGGAAGAGAGGAAAAAAAAAACCCGAGAAAATTAATCATGGTCCCTGCCTTTGAGGTTCTCACAGTCTCAAGAGAAGAGGTTCACTTATGTAAGCATGCTTTGTAGTCCCAGCAGGCCGCCTGCCAGATGGCTTTAGTCTGGTACAGCAGGCGCCTAGGAGCCCTGGTGGGGAAGGGTGTGGGCAGGAGCCAAGGGGCTCAGCAGCCCAGGCTGACTCAGTGGAAGGGTTAGTCACCCTTCCAGTCATGTGATGCTCTCCTGGCTTCCTTGGGCATCTCGTACATACATGAAACACTGGATCATCCAGGAGGCGCTCACACTGCCTCATTTCACCATCCAGGTTGCTAAAGGATGGAGCCTGGCTGGGTGAGCTGGTGGGGGCGTGGAAGCCGTGGGTGGGCTGTGGGCCGCCTGGCAGCAGGCTTCCTAAGTCGCTGCTTACAGCAGCAGCGGACTTGACTTTCTTTGCGGGCATCTCGTACATACATGAAACACTGGATCATCCAGGAGGCGCTCACACTGCCTCATTTCACCATCCAGGTTGCTAAAGGATGGAGCCTGGCTGGGTGAGCTGGTGGGGGCGTGGAAGCCGTGGGTGGGCTGTCGGCCGCCTGGCAGCAGGCTTCCTAAGTCGCTGCTTACGGCAGCAGCGGACTTGACTTTCTTTCTTTGGTCTTAACTTGGAAAGGGGGATAAAAATTAAGGAAGCTGTCACTTAGGAATCGAGTCCTGGATAGTTTGAGAGATTGTTGCAAGGGCTATTTGGCTTCACGTGTTATTCCTAGAGACAGCAGGAGCAGGCTGGCCTCCTGCCAGTTACCTGTGGGACCTGTTGAGCCAGCCCTGAGGCCCCAGCAAACTTCAGGGGCCTGAAACTTGTGCTGCCAATGAACCTGCACCTGCCGTGTTGCAGCCTCCAGGGCAAACCCTAAGAGCGTGGCTCACCAGGCCTCTGCGCAGCTAGCCTGAAGGACCTTGGAGAAGGAAGCTCTCCCACCAGAGAACTTCGAGTGGCACCTCTCACTGTGCACTCTGCCAGGAAAGAGAAGGCTAAGTCAGCATCTCCAGTTCTGGGCAGAGGCCAGCATCCAGGAGCTTGGGAGAGGAAAGACTGGGGAACTAGCGTTGGGTTGTTGGTAAAAATGTTTAAGGGAGAGGGGGCCTTGGGGGTAGCTCAAACAGGCAATCGTCCATGTCCCCACGGTATGCATGCTGCAGAAAAGAGGCTGCAAACAATCAGGGCCAACCCTCCAGAGGGTGTCGCTGAGTTGTCCTCCAGCCCACCCTTTCTTGCCCAGAACTTCCCTCAGCTTTCCTGCTCACTCCTAACACAACAGCTATCGAGGGACAAGTTGTTGCGATTCTCACAGGGAGAGACAGAGACGGGACACTGAGGCTACAAACAGGAAGCAGCGTTTACTGATGCCCACCCCGCACGGCAGATTCTCATCCGAAGGCTGAGCCCCCATTGTAATATAACAGTTTTATACAGTCTTGCCATCCCTACACAGCCACAGATAGAAGGGAGAATATTAATTGGTTGGCAAGCTATGAAACAAGCTATAATGTTAGCTGGAGAGTCCTTGAGGTGGGGGAAGGGCAGTCAGGACCCAACACGTTCTAGCAGGAATCGGCCAGGCAGGGTCAGGCTGCCACAAAGTAACTGCCAGACATTTGAGAGAAACCTCTAACATAAAAGAAATAATACTAAACAGGACAAACAAAAGGAACTCGAGGAAGATAGAGACCACGCAGTGTGCACAAGAAAATTTAAACTTCAATCATCATCTCTAAGGAGATGACAAAAGACATCGCATCCAGAAGATAAGAGAGGAGGCTCTCAGAACGAAAGGAGCTCTTGGAACTTCAAACTAGGACAGCAGAAAAGTCTCAGGAGATAAAACTGAAAAATACATAACGACAAATAGAACCAAAAGATCAAAGCATGGGCAGATACGAAAAATAGAGTATTGTTTGAGGAGCTTCAGAGAGAAAGAGTCGGGGGAGGTAGGGAAAAAATGGGGAGCAGATGATCAAATGAACACAACAAAATTCCCAGGATGGAAGCTGAGCTTTCAGATCGAAAGGCACCATGAGTAGAGAGCATATTGAATGAAGAAAAAAAAAAAAAAAAGACCAAACACTGATAGCAAAGCAGGTCGTGAAATTAAAGAGTCCCCGGGAAGAAAATGAAGAACTCGCACGCAACCTTCCGGAGAGAAAAACAAACCACGCGCGAGGGATAAGGAGTTTGAAATCAAAATCGGAGTTTTTGCGGGGATTCTGAAACATGCCTGCAGATGCTCTGACGCTCGGGCGGCTCTGTCCTCCCAGGGAAGCTGGGCAGGACTTGTGGCTGTAGGAAGCAACACTGTGGTCTCCCCAGGCGAAGCTAGAGAAGGTCGCACAGCTTTGCATTTTCTCTTGAGGAACTCATTTTGGTCATTATGCAGGAGGCCCAGCTACCCTGAGGTCGCCACGGGGTGAGGGGTGGGTGGAGAGGGAGGGAGGGAGGAAGAGAGGGAGAGAGAGAGGGAGAGACAGAGAGAATCTTAGTTGTTCTAATGTAGGGAGGAGGCAAGAGAAAATGTTAAATCGAGCTACATTCAGAGACTGCAAAACGCCACTCAGCATCTCTGTGGTCAGGCCATGAAGGTACCTGCAGAGCAAAGGAAGATTTCTGCTGGAATTGCTAACAACCCATTTCCCACACCTGTAAAGGGGAAACAGGAAAAACAGAGCCTTTAAGTGTCTGCCCTACACAAAATAAAATCATTCATTCCCTATGGCTAAAG